CCAGCGCTGCGCCGGCGCGCCTGCGGGCGGGCGGAGAGCGGTGGGGGCGTCAGCCCGCCCCTCTGGGGACCCTGAGACACCCCACTGCCCCTGGGGGCGCCTGGGCGGGGACGGGTCTGGACACTCACCCTGGACACTCACCCAGGACTCTGGCGTCAGGCAACACCCTCGGCCAGGACCTCCCCCCCGCCCCCCCGCATCTCAGGAAGCGCCCTCCCCTCCCAACCCCCCACTTCTCTGTCTATTTGCCTCCTTCAGGGCTGCCCTAAAACCCACCTGCAGTCCCAAACTCTTCCCTATAGCTTTCTCCAACAAAAACTGCCCTGCTTTGGAAAACCTTGCTGTCCTATGGGTACAAGAGGGCCCCAAGACACCCCCCCCCCACACACACACACACGCACACCATATCGGCGGGGATAATTATAAAACACTTACTGTGCACCTCTGTGTTGAGCGAGCTCCCAGTAGTACCTCTCTTAGTCTTCTCCAATGACCCTACAAGTAAGCACAGTTATCCCCCCTGGTTACCCATCAGTAACAGGAGCCCCGGGGCCCTGGCGGGTACCTTGAAGTTGGAGGCCTTCTGCTCTTAAAGAGGTTCGGTCCGGAAATGCACAGGGGCCGTGGTAGCGTGCACTACAGGGTGGCTGTGAGTCGGAATAGACTCGGAGGAGAGTGAGTTTGTTTGGAGCCGTTACTAATCGGAGCACAAAGATGTTCATTCTGAGGCCACACAGCTAGGATGAGGGAGGCAAGGCCAAGGTCCACGTTTGGGCACACTAGAGCACTGGAAGGAGGCTGTTTCAGAGGGAAAACAGCTGCAGGGGGGACAGCATGGTCGAAGCTCTTGTGGGTGAGTTGATGGCCAAGACTGGTGGCTCCAGAGTCCAGGACAGCTCCTAAGCTGTGAGCGGGTTACACGCTGGGCTGTTTGTCAACCCACAGCGGCAGTTGTACTGGCCCCAGAGGGTGGCTGAGAGTCAGAAGCAGCTTGGTAGCAGTGAGTTTGGGTGGCTTTTGAAGATGTGAGCTGAAATACGATTAGGTCAAGGTCTGAGGCTGACTCTGCCTCCAGCCAGCAGCGGGGCGCAGGCACGCCCATGTTGTCCCACATGTGTACTGGTTTCTGGAAAAAGTGAGCTGGCTGCGTGGGTGTCAGTGCTGGGCTCAGGGATAGTGGCTCCCGAGGGAGCAGAAGCCAGCTTGGCCTGCCCAGCCCTTGACAAGGGACTGCAGCTTCTTGAAGGGAATCGTAACAGTACCCAACCAAGCCACACCCACTGCCATCAAGTCCCTGCCCACTCATAGGTACCCAATAGGTTCAGGGCAGAACTGCCCCTGTGGGGTTCCAAGGCTGTAACTTAAGGGGGTAGAAAACTTCATCTTTCTCCTGAAGACTGGCTGGTGGTTTCGAACGGCTGACCTTGTGGTGAACAGCCCAACCACGAGCTAGTCTTTGCAATGTGCACAGTTCTCTCTCACATACCACTACAGGTGGGGTGGGCATTGGGAGAAAGTCTAGTCCAATTCATGTCTGAGGCAGGAACCTCTCAGTCCACTGCCGGCAGGTCATACCCAGGGAGCTCCTCCGGCCCAGGGACAAGCTACAGGTCAGGGCATCCTGCTGCCACCTGACTGCCACTGCTCTTTGGAGGGGCCCATGCTCCTGCCACACCGCAGCCTCCCACCAGGACCGTCCTGACTCAGTGGGCTCCCCAGTGTGCTGTGCAGGTGGTCCAGGGTGGCTTCAGGTGGGGCCCCAGCTGTGCTGGACCGGCCCGGTGCCTTCCTGGCTCAGGTGCTGGGCACACTTCAGAAGCAACATCACCCTTGGGGCTGACAGTCAAGTCAAACGGCATTTTTATTGTTCCTTTAAAACACCATCTGCTTGGAAGCCAAATCTCTCTTATTCTTGACAAATGGAATCAGGCCTTTCTGAACTCTCATGGAGGACCCGAGGAGCTCTGGATTAGGTGTTGTTGGGCTGCGAACTGCAAGGCCAGCAGTTCAAAACTACCAGCTGCTCCTCGGGAGAAAGAGGAGGCTTTCTGCTCCTGTAAAAATTACAGTCCCTGAAATCTACCCTGTCCTGTCCAGTCCCTTTGAGTCAGATAGCAGGGCATTTCTCCTTGTTAAGAATGTTAATTAATAGCCATTTCTCCTTGTTAAGAATGTTAATAGCCTAGGGACTTAGTTGTAAAACTGAGAAACCCTGCATGGAGTTTTTCTGACTCCATCCGGACTTCTAGTGGTATACAGCACCCCCACCCCCTCGTCCCCATCTTGGGGCCCAGTCCTACCTCCATTTCCTTGCCACTTCCCTCCTCTGTGGCTGCAACCTCATTTGATCTCCTGCATCTTGCTGACCTTACATGCCAGGCAGTGATTCCCCACTGACTGTGTGCAAACCTGTGTTCATCAAACACTGATCCCACATGCCCCCAGCTCTGCACCAGGCCCTGGGCTGGAAAGAGGACCCCCTTATCAGCCCCTTGGGGCTCACTACTCAAAGTGGGAGATAGATATGCTAATTCATAATTACACAACAGCCTGCCAGGTGAGCTCCAGGTGGGGGACACAAACAATGTTCCTTCTGTGTGAACACAAGCCTGTGTTCAATCTCCAGCTCCCTCCTATTTCCCTCATGTCTCCAAGGGGTTCCTTTAC